TTTAGCGGTCACATTAATTTTCACGATCACGCTAAAAGGACTAAAAGAACAAATAATTATTTAATTTTGTAAAACAAAAAAGAAGTCCCAACTTTGCCAGTCTACACTAGAGAGACATCAGTTTGGCGTGTGATTGATGGATTTGTTGATCTACAGTGCAATCTACATAAATGTTCCACTGTTTGCTATGGTAACAGTTTTTGAACCAGAATACCTTAATTGTTGCACATACTGTGAAATATTTTATTTTTGCTGGAATTAATTTTTTCGGAAAAGGCATTTTATGTGTTTTGTATGGAATTTAATTTCACTGATTTTTAACGAGTTTAATGTAAAATATAGGAAAAAAGGTATATTTGCTGGATTTTATTTTCACTGAATCATTCCTTCAGCGAAAATAGCAAAAATTAATTCCAAGCGAAAATAATGTAGTCTACAGTACTACTTCATATGCCGAATGCCACAGACATAGTATATCAGATATTACAGCTGTAAGAGATTTAAATAAAACTTAGTACATATACAATGTACATGTAAATGGTCTGGGATCCTCCACAAATACTATCACCGTAGTTCAGGGTACCTAGCCAATTTTTATCTGTTCCATTAATATCTCATGTACAATCCCTTTATTTCTATGAAACTTGGTGCATATATGTTTTGGGATAAACCACAAACCACAGATGTACAATCAAATTTATTCTCAGAGTTTTCTGTTAGTATTGACAATTTCAAATTGAATTTCACAATGTGCATTTCAAAGTTCAGAGCTATGTCAAGTATGTTTGGAAATAGAACACCATAAAAATGGGACACTGAACGCATATTTATACCAGTTTATTCACCTGCACATTGAAAACTGAAACAGTTGCAGCTCTCACTTCCCCTTGAAATAAAATGGTTTCAGGTTGGTACCAGCAACTTCTGGTTTTGTATTTATATACAAAACATAGAGATCCCTGGATGGTTGTACAGAGAAGGGAATCTATTCACAGCAAGCAATTTTCACATGCAGAGCACCTCAGCTGATTATACAGAGTAGGGGCCTGTTAAGATCAGCAATTTTCACAGAGCACCTCAGCTGATTATACAGAGTAGGGGCCTGTTAAAAGCAGCAATCTTCACAGAGCACCTCAACTGATTATACAGAGTAGGGGCCTGTTAAAAGCAGCAATCTTCACAGAGCACCTCAGTTGATTATACCACAGACCCTCTAGCAGAGGGTTAGAGGGTCTATGATTATACAGAGTAAGGGCATGTTAAGGGCGGTAGTTGATTTTCCCACAATCCAATGCACTCTTCAGATGGAAATCACAAGTATGAGGTTTGACCTGGGCGTGACTTGCACTGATTACCGGGTTACTGTAATTGAAATTTTATGCCATGTATTTATAGACGTTGTAGACATTTATTTCACTTTCTTTGCTTCACAAAATTTTGATTAAATTTCTAATATATTGATTAAAAGCAGCGAACAATGCAGAGAGAGCCGCACAATTACGTTTAAATTCATGTAACCTTTTTAAGGTCACTACGTTTGAATTTCACATTCAATTCTGATCAATTGATAACAATTTTATGTAAGTTTTTTAAGTATTTTAATAAAGGAATCAGGAATCTTGCCAGGTTCAACAGACTCTCATCACTGCCAAAACATAGGACCAAAAACATTTTTTTCTAGCATAGTACATTGTACATGTATCTTCGAATGGAAACAATTCTTCGGAAGAATTTTTTAAATTCAAGTTTTTTAGCTCCGCTGTCAACTTTGTCGAGCGGAGCTTATCATATGAGTGATTGTCCGTCGTCGTCCGTGTCAATGTTTTACTTTTTCGACTTCTTGTTAAAAACCAATAGTTCAATTGCTTTGATATTACATATATAGATACTACATGTAGACCTTTCTCAGATTTGTTCATTTTGTGATGATATCTTCAATTCTCTAATTTTGGTGAATATTTTTTGTCATTTTTGGTAAAAAGTGATATTTTCTACTTCTTGTTAAAAACCAAAAATTCAATTGCTTTGATATTACATATATAGATACTACATATAGACCTTTTTCAGATTTGTTCATTTTGTGATGATATCTTCAATTCTCTAATTTTGGTGAATATTTTTGTCATTTTTGGTAAAAAGTGATATTTTCGACTTCTTGTTAAAAACTGTAAGTCCGATTGCTTTGATATTACATATATAGGTACTACATGTGGACCTCTCTCAGATTTGTTCATTTTGTGATAATATCTTCAATTCTCTAATTTTGGTGAATATTTTTTGTCATTTTTGGTAAAAAGTGATATTTTCGACTTCTTGTTAAAAACCAAAAATTCAATTGCTTTGATATTACATATATAGATACTACATATAGACCTTTTTCAGATTTGTTCATTTTGTGATGATATCTTCAATTCTCTAATTTTGGTGAATATTTTTGTCATTTTTGGTAAAAAGTGATATTTTCGACTTCTTGTTAAAAACCAAAACTTCAATTGCTTTGATATTACCTATATAGATACTACATGTAGACCTTTCTCAGATTTGTTCATTTCGTGATGATATCTTCAATTCTCTAATTTTGGTGAATATTTTTGTCATTTTTGGTAAAAAGTGATATTTTCGACTTCTTGTTAAAAACCGCAAGTCCAATTGCTTTGATATTACATATATAGGTACTACATGTGGACCTCTCTCAGATTTGTTCATTTTGTGATGATATCTTTAATTCTCTAATTTTGGTGAATATTTTTGTTATTTTTGGTAAAAAGTGATATTTTCGACTTCTTATTAAAAACTGTAAGTCCGATTGCTTTGATACTATACATATTGTTCATTTTCTAATGATGTCTTCAGTTCTTTAATTGAAATGTGCATTGCTAACAGCGGAGCTATCTCAGCCGATAGGCTGCTTGTTTATTTTCAGGACAGATCAATACGATATATTTTGTGTTATCCTACCGACACCATAAAAAACCATGTGAAAATAGAGGGCATTTTTGTCTTGATACCTTAAAATACCATAGCCATTTTTGCACATTGTCCCTTTTGGTTTTACATCTCCTGAACTTTAGATTATGGAATATTCTTACAACTTCTTGTATGCATATTATCTATTATGATGTCCTTTATGTATTATACTACTTTTATGAAGTACACGAAAGGTATTTTTCTAGTCATCACTAAAAAATCACACATGACTTTTTATGGATTGGGCCATATTGCTGTTGGTATGGATTTATGGTTTATTATGTTATCAGCTATTATGGACATTATGGTTTTTTTATGGTAAAATTAGTTACAGTTAGATTAAATATGGTATTATATGGCATTTTATATGATACTTGATTGTGTAATGGTATATTATGGCTTCAAATTTTTAATTTTATGGTAATATATGGTGTCAGAGTTCACTAAATCATGTGTTACTATACCATCAAGATTTCATTCAAATTTGATACACAGGTGCAAATCTGTTTAGACTAATGACATATTTTGCTTCTATCTGTCCAGACGTTTTTGTTTATCATATTTATACTTAGTTTTTCTTTAGCCAAAATATATCAATGGTCAAACTGTAGAAATGTTCATTTCTTTTGATAAACAAATTCTTCTAGTGCCGCTAGTCTATAAACAAATGAAGATCATTAACATTTCAAAATGACAGCTGTTTTAGCCCATAAAAAGGTTACTACACAGGCAGTACATGTAAATGCCAAATCTGTTGACAACAGTTTGAGTTTCAAAATATATTCAGAGTTTAACAGAATTTGATTGTTTCATTTAGGTAATTATATTCTTTCAAATGTCTAGATAAAACCTGAAGCCATATTTTACCATACGATTTCCTTTCCCAAGCCATAAAAACCCATATTGTCTGGCTGAATACTTGTTCCTTCTGAAACCACAAAGTACCATATCTGTAATTATTACTGTAGCCATATAATGCCATAAAATAAATGCCCTACGTTCTGCACAATCTGAACGCATAAAATACCATATAATTGATTTTAGACTGGAAACGCCCCAAACCATGCAAAACCATATTTTGGGGGGTATCGTTTTTTTTTGACTTACTCTTTTAGGCAAGTTCACTTTTATCTCTGGTTTCATGATTTATTAACAAAATTCACAGCTGTCATATTTATCTTAATTAGCATATTTTTGTAACCCTCCTCTAATCGCACAATTTAATTTATGTGTCTGAATTTCATGAAATGAGAAGACAATAATCTATATTCTAAATGGAAAACCAAGTTTAGTGTCAATTTGATTACTTAAAATGCAGTAATTGACAATTGAAATTGGTTGAAATTACACAATAAGTCTTGGCTAGTTAGTGTGAAAAGTATGCTGGGAGAATAGGTGTCCATTTTTCACATGGTTTTTTATGGCGTCGATAGGAAGTGGATTATACATGTATAAACAAAAATGGTGACATAGAAATTAATGTAGCCATTGTTAAATGCAGATACAATAACCAGGTTTATGAATTCTAGATATTTAATATTTAGATACTGTAGACTACTTTATTTTCGCTTGGAATTTATTTTCGCTATTTTCGCTGAAGGGATGATTCTCTGAAAATAAAATCCAGCGAATATACTTTTTTTCCTATATTTCACATTAAACTAATCAAAAATCAGTGAAAATAAATTCCATACAAAACGCCCAAAAAGACTTTTCAGCGAAAATTAATTCCAGCGAGAATAAAGTATTCCACAGTATTCACTTAATAAATTCACTTATCCAAGTGAAATATTAAAATGTAATTCAAGGAGCCAAGTGAAATGTTGAAATGTGACTTAAGAGGCCAGGTAAATTGTTGAAATGTGATTCACTTATAAAGCCCAATGAAATGTGACTTGTCAAAAGAGCCCAATGAAATGTTGAAATGTGACTTTCATTGTTTTCCAGAATTTCCTGAAAAATTTGTCTCACAAAATGAATTAAATGTGGCTTATAGTATTTCACTAAACTAAATATATTTTACATTTTCTTAGTTTTCAGAGAAAGTAATAAAGTGGGAAGTTCACATGAAGCTCCAACTGCCAACCCAACAACCAAAAGATCTAAAAACAGACGTGATCCTCGTAGACATACCGTCGCTAATGGTATAGACTATAATATGGTAAGAATGTTTTTGTAATGTCATCGACCTCTTACAAATAGTCATTGTCACATGGTCAATTGCCAAACAATGCGGGTCAATGGGTTTGCCAGACATGAAAACAATCGACAAATAAGATTTTATAATGAGTCCAATTTAATAGTAGACTGATCGATTGACTCCCACCCATCAAAAATACAGACATCATAAAGAATTAGTATGGCCCATCACAGGTAAATTCAAAATATTCCACTATTGAATTTATGTTATATAAGGCCCAGAACATCTGTCAGTTTAACCCTCTAAGGGCCAATTTTTTTTCCTGCTTATTAAATTGAATTCGTTCACATTTTCTGTATTCTCATTGAATTCAATCTAAATTTTAAATTAATTAAACAGACAAAATGTGACATTGCTTCTATTTTTTGATCAAAATTTGTGAAATTTTCACAACATTTGAAGTTCACTTTGGCACTCAAACGATTTAAAATGTTTAAACCTCACAGCCTTTTTAGCTCCGCTGTCGACTTTGTCGAGCGGAGCTTATCATATGAGTGATTGTCCATTGTCCGTGTCAATGTTTTACTTTTTTGACTTCTTCTTGAAAACTACAAGTCTGAATGCTTTCATACTTGGTGTATATGTACCTTGGGTAGACCTCTCTCAGATTTGTTCATTTCATGATCATATCTTCAATTCTCTAATTTTGATGAATATTTTTGGTAAAAAGTGATATTTTCGACTTCTTGTTGAAAACCACAAGTCTGATTGCTTTGATATTATATATATAGGTACTACAGGTAGAACTCTCTCAGATTTGTTCATTTCATGATGATATCGCTAATTCTCTAATTTTGATGAATAACAGCGGAGCTATCTCAGCCGAGAGGCTGCTTGTTTAGAGGTTTTATGACAAAATTATAAAAAATCAAATGAGAAACAAATTCAAAACATAATTTTAATGATAATAATAATAAAAAACTGCATCTGTGTGCATCTATTTCAAAAAACTAAGCAAAAATCTGATTGTTATTGTACTACTATATTTACTTCAATAGCACACCCCCCCCCCCCAATAATGTATTTTGATTGGACTTATAAGTTCACCAAACTCTTACTGATCCATTTATGTTAACTATTTTAACATGTCATTTTTGAAAACGCAAATACAATGCGCATGTTTCATACGTGTGACACATACAAGCCTGTACATACATATTCTCACTTTATTTGTTTTGTTTTGTTTGTTTGTTTGTTTGTTTGTTTGTCTTTCTTCACATCTGTATTGCATTTTATTCAAAATCCTAATAGGGATACGAACGCAATAAAGATAATTATTATTATTACATACATATGGGTTAACCTTTTCACCACCAGTTCTTTCTTTTACATCACAAATTTTCAAAAAAGCCTGCACTTTCCTTCAAAAGATTGGGACAAAAATAGCCTAATTTTTTGAGTAAAAACTGAAAATTGACTCAAATTTTGTCTGTTGGCTCCAAAATTAGGGTTCATTTCCAGAAATATTGAAGAATATAAGAAAAAAGTGCAGAAAAATGTTGGTGGGAATGTCTGGTCGTGAAAAGGCTAAATATATTAACAAATTTGAACACGTGCACTACAACAAAAACTTGCGTTTAATGTTTTTATTTGTGGGAGAGGAGATCACAGAACCTTCCCATAATGCAATACTAACTTAACATATTTTCTTTCTCTGCTTTTCTTTTTCTTTGCAATCTCAGCCTGACTCGGATTCTGTGGAGGACCATGTAGGTTATATTGATCGTAATTTGCATCCGTAGATTTGTAGCAGTAGTTAGAAGGAGTTCAACTGTGATCAAATTACATTTACAATGTTTAACACATTGTCTACCCACGTCATATTTTTCCCTTTCATTTTGGCTGTCTGTAACGGTTTTCAGCAGGTGACAGATTTTGGATGAATAGGTGGTTAAATCTGTCATTTAAGATATGAACAGCTAAATTATCCACTTGTTGCCTTTTCAAGATAATCAAGTCTAATTGATTGACATAAAAACAGAATGGGATCTTTTATTGCATATTACCGTACATGGATATGACAGTTACCCTTATATTTCTTTCTATCGTTGGTATGTATGTACTGTAAAACTATTTATTTTCACTGACATTTAATTTCACTATTTTAATGCTTTGATTACTGATTTTGATTTTGATTTGATTCACTGTTGTTGAAGTTCACGAACTTGACAAGGAAACAATGTATTCTATTTTATATGTTCACTGAAATTTAATTTAGCGTATTTTGCTTATTGGCGAAAATCG